AGGAGTAAGAGGAAGGTGCTCGGTTATTGGAGGAGATTGGCGAGTGATGGAGCAGGTTTGAATTGCATTAATGGAGAGGAAAAGTACGTCGAGCTGCCATAGTTTGACCAGGTTGGGTTTATTGTCACAAGGACCACAAGCACTCGCAGTCCATCCCATCCTAAATCCTGCCTTTAACAACCCATCCAAACCATGGGAGGGGTGTTCAAAATCCCTTGTGCCCAAAACAGGGACCACGGAAATCTCTTTACATTCATATCTGTGCAACTCAGATTCTGGGAAGCTATAATTAACAACATAGTCACTACGATCAAGGCAATGTAATGGCCCTCTGAGAGAATTTGGAATTTGACGAGAACAATTAAACAAGAAGGAAATGTTCCTGTTCTCCATGGTGTAATATAGGATAGGAGAATGAAGACTGAGACAGTAACCATGTTGAGGACAACCTTCTTCCACCAACTTTGAACTGGCAATTGTGAAAGTCTGGCTCTTGTAGTCGATACCTCTTACATAGTATTCTTCCCCTGAAATGGTTGTCATAACGGTAACATTATAGGCACACGTGATTTTAAAGCCAGGATAACCACAAAAGTCTGGTGAGACATCCATCCAAAAAGGATAACTGATACTGGGGCCATCTCCACAATCGCTAGGAGCACAAGCTTCATACTGTGGGTCATCAGATGAAGCAAAAAAGGGCAATAAGAGCATAACAAACGCCTGCCATTGTTACTCGGTTTGCAATTCATAGTTCATGATCAAGAGCCTGGAGATAGTTTAGCAACTTAATAATTGCGGTCAACAATTATGAGCCAGAATCACATTTAAAGGTATATAACAACGTTGCTGGAGAGGAATTGGTTTAAGGCAGGTGATATCAAAATGGTGGGATAAAAGGGAAAAGAGAAGAGGGTAGTTTGAACAATTGGTTTCTGATTTCTGACTGGTTCACCTAGAGCTTCTGCATTTGAATCTGTGCTTTAGCAAACAGGAGAGTTCCTTGAATAATATGCAATCAGTTGGTTGAACAGGTGAAGGTAGGTGCTGGTAGTAGTTCAACTTTTTCTTAATTGCCAGGTGCCATCCGTTGACAATAGATTAGAGCCACTTCTTGGATTTATATTATGACTTTGAAGTATCATACACCTCTTAGCTATTTTCAAAATTTCTGAACTACCTCTACTGGTCAAAAGGAAAGCTCTGCCCTTTTGTCCAAAAGTAGGCCTGGCAATGGGCCGGGCAGCCCAGCCCTAAAAAAAGAGTAAAGTTTGGCCCACAAACTATGGCCTGAGGTCTGGGCTAGGGCCAGTGCTGACATTGTTCAACCCGGCCAGGCCTGTTTTTTTTCTTCTTCTCTTTTTATCACTTCATTTGTTTTTGGCCTGGCGTGGCCCCAATAAGGTCAGGCCCGACCCTAATAAGGCCCATCCCATCCCAGCCGGGCCAGGGCCAGGGGCTGGCCCGGCCCATTGCCCTTATCCAAAACAAACCACTCAGTATTTGATACAAAGTCTACTGTAATATATGGAGAAAATACTATTGATTGTGGTGGTCATTAATGTAACAAGAGGATTCTGATATGGTTACAGATTTGTTCCTAGATGACTAACGGAATCATCTAGAATTGAAAGTTCATGCAACAAAATTAAATATGAAGGTATGTTTTGCCATATAATTCCAAGATTTGGAAAGAAACACTAGAAAATTTCAGATCTCTACCCAAAAAAGATGACATTTGTAGAATTTTGATGAAAATTGAAATATTTATTTTTCAAAGGGTAATTTTTTTTTCAAGGCTTCTGAACTCCCATAAGAAATTTTTAGATTTCTAAGCAAAGAAAGATAACGAGAATTGAAGGCTGCCACCAATAAAAATACAAAATACTCTAATGAAACTTATAAAAAAAGATAACAAAAAAAAGAAAAAAAACTGTTCAACTTCAAACTGAATATCCAAGAGGAATTGGTAAAATAGGAAGTATGAACCTGCTAAAAGAAGAATGAGAGCATATACTTTCTGAAACTAGAATTTTGTGATATGCACATTTCACATATGAAAGGTCAACGTTTATTTGTTCATTTTTTAGTAGAAGGACAATGACAATTGTTGCTTTCATACCTAATGAGGATTATCTAAAAGGTTCAATTATTGAAAAGTCAAACTAAGCAAACAAAAAGAAAGTTGTGAAGCCCTACAATCAGTATAAATTCAATATTTAAAGAAATATGATTATCCCTCATGCTTCCTGAAAATCACATTTCTGTGACAAACAACCCCTCATATCAAATGAATAAAGGGAAATTGGTCACTTAAAAATTTCCCATTTCCTTTCAAGGTATCAACTTGAGTTGCAGAAAATGAAATCAAACATTCAAGACAAGAGAATGCATTTCCCAATTCTATTAAACTAGATCACAAACCATATCGGGTACAGGTCCAATAAGACCTGGCTGGTTCATTGATTAGATAAAATCTAGCAAATTAATTGCTTCAGTTTTATATTTCAACTGTATATGTACCGATATTTTGATTCACTGTTGATACTCTCCGTCTCTATTCCCTCAACACAATGTTTTTGAGAAAGTATTTGTTGCTTTAAAAAGGGGATTCCTGCCTTCACCACCCAATCAAGAGGCAAAACCAAGCAGCTGGTTCATGGTGGCAGGACCCAGTTCACCTAATCAAACCGCCAAAGGATCCGATTTGGTTTTAATAACATAGGTTTACACATGCAACCCACATGCTCACAAACCAAAGAAATATGAAAAATAAAGAAAAAGACCTGCACACTTTAAGAAGCCTCCTCCAGAGGATTACTATGACATGTAACATACATGCAAATGCCTACTTTTAGGATTAGAGAAAAAAAAGAAGAAAAAAAAGCATAGTTACCTACCTGCTCGTTAAATAGGTTTTATACGAAGGATCCAGTAAGTGCCTTCTCATAATAGCACTTATCTATAACTAGAAGGTGCAAAACAAGAATACAAAAATATTCAAATTAATTGCAAAAATAAACAACCTAATCTCTTCCTCATTACAATTACAGTAACAATAAATGGGAAGTCATTTATATTCATGGATCTTCCAAAACTATTCAAATTACCAATCTATACCACACACTCAACCAAGATGGGGCCCGAAATCTAATGAACAGACGAAATGCTACAGGTTCCTCCAGTATACCTGAATTTATTTAAAATCACTAGGAGCTTTTAATAAAAAATTTTCAGGGCACAAACTACAAAAAAACAGGGCAATTTCAGACAAGTTTGGGTATGTTGGGAATGTTACTGAATCCTCTTATAGCTTAATTTTCCAAAACAGAGATGC